TAGTTTTAATGTACTAACGACAATCAAATCCATCAATATAACCTCCTGCTGCTCGGGTAACTGATGTCCATTGATGCAATTGGACGTTATACTGGTGGAATTTAACGAAAAAGGGGAAAGTCGATTTACTGAAAATGTAAAGGTAGGTCACTGTTATAAGGCAAAGACAAATATGACCTCTAAAGGCAGTCTTGCCTTCTGTTGTTTCAAGCCTAACGGGTTTATTTGAAAATATCAGAACTCACGTAAGTGTGATAAACAGAAAAATGAATGAAAATGAAAATGAATGAAAATGAAAATGAATGAAAATGAATAATTCCTGCTACTGCTCCTTACCTGTGACAGACGATCCACGGGACAGAGCCTACGCTCAGCATCGATGGTTGCCTTCATCGGCAGGAAGTCACTGCCCAAATCGAAGGTCATGGTGAGGTTTTCGGAACGAAGGAAGGCCTCCAGGCTGGAATTGCCCATCTGCACAACCCAACGCTCCAGGGGACTGGAGTACCTACTGAGATCCAGGACAGGATCCTCGCCCACCTTCATGAGCAAGTTCATTGCCTTGGGGTAAAAAGGAAACAAAAGAGAGAACCGCCGTTATAATTGGAACCAATTATTTGCTACTGAGTGTTAACAAGTGAAAATACACGTCCTTCCCAACAACTATTTTTGCATACCGTTTTCAATAGGGTCTTCAAAGGCATTGCCTATTACCCTAAATATACTGAACTAACTGCGGAGTTCTCCAAGGGCTTATCTTATCCTCTAACATCTCCTCCCACCCCCATTGACGTTCTACGATCGCCAAATGAAAGTTTGCATGTAAAATATGCTGATGAGATGGTTGTTAGTCACCTCCTACCCCCCAAAAAATTTATCCAGTACTTCTTACTCAAAAAGATGCCAATTAACGAAACTAAGATTTCTTTGGGGCAGAAGATTGGAAGCAGACTTTTATCTCCTTTTTCGCCTGAATACTAGCACAGATTTCCCCAAGCTTACTGTCATTACCCCCCGTCAACCGTCCCTACAACCTAAGAGAGTCGGTACTTGTTATACCTCCTACTGCATCCTCCTCATCTAAACGCTCTTTTTTTGCTTCCAGATTTAGCTTCTTTTGGAATAACTTGCCAATTGAAATTAAGTCGTTAATTAGACTATCTGCTTTCATGCGAAGACTGCATATTTATCTTAACACTGATTTTAGTAACTTTTTATTATCCCCATCTTTTCCGAGCAGCTTTCTCCACGACTCCGAGAAAGGACCATCGGGAAT